TTTTTCAAACGGGCGTATAAAAAGGGCTTTTCCAATGTGCATTAATGACAGTTATAGTGACCCGTTTAAAAGTAAAAGAAATATTCTTCAGTATCTATGATTGTTCATCAAATAACTCCGAACAAAGATTTCTAACGTTATTCTTAGAAAAGATTCCAACCATTAATTCTTAAGTTATGCACTGGACAATAAAAAGTAATAAAGAGCAAAAACTTTAAAATGAGTCAAGAAAGAGTTACGATTTCCGTGCACAGCACTTACTCTCAATATACTTGACCATTGTATGAAGTTGTTTTGAATTCTAATAATTACATTTCATGTTAATATGCTCTGCGACAAGGAAAAATAACAAAGGGCAATCATTATGTAATTACTGTGGATAGAGTTATAGTTCTTCTTCACTGAACTTCCTCTAATTGTTCATGACCATTGTATGAAGTTGCATTAAATACCAACCATATTAGTTTACAAGTTATGCACTGGACAAGAAAGTTATGAAGGACAATAACTCTGTAATTAGTCAAGACAAAGTTATAGTTCTTGTGCACTGCACTTTCTCTCAGTGTGCTTGACTAATGTATAAATTGTAATAATTGTATTCCAACTGGTGGTTTTCGCGTTATGCTCCATACAAGGAAACTGCAACGCAGGAGTACAGACAAATAACTCTATAATTACTTTAGAAACAGTCATAGTTTTTATGCACTGTACTTCCTCATATTGTGCTTGACCATTGTATCAAGTTGTTTTGAATTCCAACCAGTAGTTTTCAAGTTATGCTCCGGACAAGGAAAAGTAAAAAAGGGAAATAACTATGTAGTTAATTGAGATGGAGTTATGGTTCTTGTTCACTGCACTTACTCTCAATCAGCTTGACCATTGTGTTAAGATGTATTGAATTCCAATTAGTGGTTTTCAAGTTATGCTCCGGACAAGACAATAGCAATGGACAAGTAACAAAGGGCAATAACTCTATATTTACTTTAAATAGAGTTATGGTTCTTGTGCACTCCACTCCTTCTTTGTACTTGACCATTGTATGAAGTTGTTTTGAATTCCATCCATTAGTCTTCAAGTTATGATCCAGACAAGGAAAACTAACAAAGGGCAATAACTATGTAATAAGTCAAGATGGAGTTATGGTTCTTGTGCATTGCACTTCCTCTCAATATGCTTGACCATTGTATATAGTTGTTTTGAATTCAAATTATTAGTCGTCTTCAAGTTATGCTCCGGACAAGGAAAATGCAACAGACTGGTAGACCGACCAACCAACTTACCGACCGACCAACCAACGACCGGGTGACTCCTTTTTACCCCACCCCCAACTTCGTTTCGGGGGTATAATGAAAGCATAAATACAACTACGATAAAACCTACGACACCTGTTGCAGCCAATGTGGTTTTAGCCTAGATATTGATTTAGAAAAATCATGAATGATGCATTATGATATCAAAGAATTTTGAATATTAAAAAAATTCGCAAAAATGTCATGGATAGAATTAAGCACCTGTAGGAAGCAAAATATTTACTTAATGAAGTTTCGAAAAACATGTAGGTGAATTAATCGCAGAAATTAAAACAAAGTCTCAAATATTAGTAGGAGGTCATGTATTTGAATTTTAGCACAATTACAGTTGTCATTCTTTTTCATATTTTGCAGATATGGAATGTTCCAGCTCGGATATTGTTTTTGACATGAGGAACACGGACAGGTCTTAATTACCACATAAGCAGGCTACTTAGCACATGTTGTCATACATTTTACAGCCGAGCAAATCGAAACCGTCACCGTAATGGCGTTTTACTGTTAATTTTAAGATTTTAAAGACATTCAAATCATTTTATCACATAGTTTGTAAATAAAAAACGTTCTAATATTCTGTATGTTGTTTTCTTTTTTGATTTAGATATAGAAAACACAAATTGTTTTTAGACATAGCGTTGAATACGAATAGGATACACGCAGTACCAGTAGCCTAATATTTGCGGAATCCTATTGCAGGGGTCCCTAGTTCCATGTCTGTCAAGACTTGATAGAATGGTAGGATACTACATCACCGTTCACCTGCAAAAAGCTCCCAATCCGACTTTCTTTTTTTGTTGACACTAAGATAAATATTTTCTTATTATAATATTGAAAATAATGCAGCGCATCAAAGATTAGCTTGATATAATTAAAAACAAACTTTTAACAAAATACTGTCTGATTTAAGCACGAAAAGGGGATAAAATTTGCTCGATAGGAAAAATTTAGAGGACTAAACTAGGCAGTAAAACTTTAAACCTTCTCAAAATTATATCAAGTACTCAAGTCAATCTTTGGTGGCCTACATTATTTTTTGATGTTCTAACATGTCGACGTGGTGTTCATTTCCGATGGCGAGCATTTTACAGGTGCGCGATGACGTAGTGTCTTGCCGTTGAAATAGAATACCCTTTGATTTTGTGTCAGCCCACTGAAATTTCGTACTCTTTGTTCTATAGTAAATCGGCCAATCGCAACTTTTCAGCCCGTTCCGTCAAATGTTGAATTCTGCTTAATCCGGTACTAGGGGGCGTTGACGGTAGTTTGCACTTGACAGTACCGTCCGTGAACAGACTCAATCAAACCGAACCTGCAACATTTTCAATTTCCACGTGGTATAACTACTTTCAATCCGTATTGTTTCCGAAGAGGTAATTATAGATAATAGTTGAGGACGTTCTGATGTGTAAATCGGCTTAATACTGGATTCCACTGTTTTTGATGAACTATATTCTGTCTTAATCTTTCATCATCAACACTATCTCAGTCAAATGATGCCCGATTTATAACATGATATCAGAAATCTTCAGTTTGTTGTAACAATGTTGAATTTCAACACATTAGAAACACCTGACGGCTGGCGGGTAGTACATCTTTAATCCTTCCGCCAACAAATGAGGTCCTTGAGGATACACAATAAACTACTTTTAGGGTAACATACAAAAATTACACAAATGCAATAAATACACTTTATTAATGACATATCAAACTAGTGATGACTTAAATTGGGCCACTTTGAAATAATTACTTTCTAGAACTGAGTTTAATTCCTTTCCGGATTGAGATAATTTATCCTTGCGTAAATGTTGCACAGGATGGAAAATAAAACATGCATTAACGGAAAAAATCACGCGAGCTGAGCCTTTTTTTAATGGTTGACCAAGGGCGCCATGTATAAATAGCCGGCTGTCATTATATATTTTTTCATGTTCACGTAAACACATCTTTATTGTTCAACTGAAATAGCCAATTTAGAATATCAACACACTATGTGTTCAAAAACTAATTAGTCTTTTATGTAACAAGTAATTTCTAAAATTACTATACGTGTTTTAAAATATTTTTTTTTCTAAATCTAAAGCAACAAAGAAAACCTAAAGAATATCAGAATGGGTGTTTATTTTACTAACAGCGAAATGCTATTGAATCTAAATATTAACCGTAAAACGCCATAACGTTTCCGATTTACTCGGCTGTAAAATGTTAAACCACACAATTTATAAGGTCCTGTAGCGAATAGCCTGTTTATTGGGTCATTCAGACATGTCCGTGAATGAAATGTTTTTCCCACTTTTGTCACAAACAACATTCGAGCTGGAACCTTTCATATCTGCAAAATATGTTAATTCATCAATATCCAAACTTCATTTAATATATTCGCTTGAGAATATTCTGCTACATAAAGGTGCTTAATTCTATGTAGGGCCTTTTGGTGATATTTCTAATAGTATTCAAAATTCTTTGAAAGTTTAAGACTAAATGCATCAATCATGATTTTGTTAAATCCAGGCTAAAACCAACAAAGCTATTGCTTGCACATAAAATATTGCGTGTGAGTTATCAACAATATAAGTACCCGTGTCCATTAGCCAAATCATGTTTCCCTCGTGGACTGGAATAGAAAATGACCAGTCAACATTCAATATGCCTAATATTTACATTTTTAAATAAAGACTTTTTTCTAACCTTTTCTCCTTGCTAACTCGACGTCGTTTCATCATTTTCTCAAAAAACACAAATTTTGCGTGAATGTTACCCGCAAAATAATTGACCACATTGAAAATTCTTGTTGAATATTTATTTGTTTGTACAAACAAAACCGCAGAGATGGAAAATAAGGTATAGACGATAACAATTCTTTATTCCGCGTAGGCTGCAAAAGGTCTCGTATGTTAGATAAAGAAATACCCGTAAAACACATTCGAAGCGAGGTATTTAGGCCGCCATATTGTCTGTACGCGTTACCATAAAATTTACGCGATTCCCTCCCGTGGAATAGTACTAATTGACAGCCTAATTAATACGTGAGTTAAAGCACAGGCAGTCGGTGCTTGGCTTTGATATGATACATGTATATGACCACGTCCATTCATTTAAAATATATATATTTTTCTCACTTATAATATATTTTTTCAATCAAAATGTTTTTTTAAACATCTTATTTTCAATAAAACAACAATGGAAAGTTGTTTTTATAAAGTTCATCCATATATACTATATATAGCACCGACTGCCTTTGGGTTAAAGTCCGAACATTTCTTGACAAGTTCAGAAATTTGTACTTTAAAATTTGCACTCGCATATGCACCAGAAGCCACCATTGGATATTAGATTGTAGATTTAATAATTTTCATGAGGGAGAAAGGGACCCCCTCCCCGACACCAACCCTCCTTTTTGCAATCAACCCCTATCTTACTCCCCACCCCTCTTCCAACAATCTGAAGATTTTTCTTACAAGCCTGATAAGTTATTGTTTGATTTGGTATGGGATTTCTATTTTCATTCTATAAAATCTAAGCCCCTTTAAAAATGCATGATGAGAAAAAAAATACCAGGTACAAATTTTAATTAAAATATTATTTCATTATGTACAGTAAGGTTTGTCACAGATTCCATTGGACAAAATCACACATTTTATTAAATACTGTGATGTACTGTACATGCATTCCTGGAGATACATGTATAAGACTATGGCTTACATTATACATGTAGTTTAATATTAAGAAACGATAATGACATAGACTTTAAAAAATATTTTAATGTTGCTGCATTGAAATGTACCAAGTTGAAAATAATAATATACAAGTCAATACAGTATAGAAAATAAAATATATATAAAAGATAACTTATTTTTATACGTAAACCCTATAATTATAACCAAAGGTGTGCACACTTTAATATGTTTCCTTATCTATCTACTGCAGTAAATATCTCATAATATTCACAATAAAAAAGTTGTCTATTCACATGTCAATTGTCTCATAATCTATTTATAAATTGTTTCTCCCAAGTTCATTTAAGGTTACTCTGTCTTGTTGTTTTAAACTCAAACACGTACAGTCCAAACTTTGGGGTGCCATCACGTGTGACCACAAAATTGTCTGATTGTTTAATAAATGTTTTAAAGTTTTCAAATTCTGTTTCTGGTTTTATATCACAGCCTTCCATACATACCCTCACTGTAAGTGGTAGCTTGATTATAACAGCAATGAGATCATGTAACACTGAACAAGACATTGCATTACCACACAAGGTAACTTCTTCAATATTGATCATATGAGGTGACAGTGTTAATGATCTTTCACCTAGAATTGTATTTTGCAACGTAAAATATTTAACATGATGTAACAATGGTAATATTTGTAACATTGTTTCTATGTCACTTGTAGATTCTAGATGACTACACCAAACATTTTGTAGTTTACTTGCTGCAGGTAGTTGACGGAGATAAGATGACACAACACCAGGTTTATATAATGTACTAACAACACAATCCTCTAACAACGATACATCCATGTTTAATTGTGACACAGGTATAGAGCCCAATCCCAAACGTCTTAGTTGCGAATGTTGTGAGAGATCAAGGTTGAATCCCGTACATGAAGTATTATGATCACTACAGTTTAAATTGTACACATTTATTTCTTTCATTGATGTTTTACTAGTGAGAAAATTTATCAATGTCTCCATTACCTTGTGGGTCATACTAAAACCGTTCATAAATAAATACTCCAGGTGTTGTAATTTTACCAGTTGTCCATTTATCTCTGCAGACAGCCGGCAATGTCTTCCTACAAGTTTATTATTTTCCCATTTACTTGATACCACAGTTAAACATCTTAAAGGGTTCAATAATAAGCTCATTATTTCTTCTTCTACAATTTCACCTGTGTAGTATAATTTCTCTATATGTGGAAGGTCAGAAAGTGTAAACAAATTGACTATTTCTTGTAGACTACACATACCTTCATTTTGTATCATTATTGATTTTATATTTTCCTTATTTTGTTGATACAACTGTTGTAATTGTTTGAAGTAGTTTTCTTGTTGACATTTTGCATTAATGATGAAATCTTGTAAACATAATTTGAGGTCTTTATTTTCCTGGCTTTCTGTGGCACAAGAAATGTACATGTCTTGTATGTCTTGTAATGGCTTAATGTACATGTAATCATAAGCTGACTTAGTTCTGTATGTGCTTGTTATTTCATCATTGTTTATCGCAGGCATCAAATCACTTGATATTTCAGACATTAATTTAGGGTTCATGTTACTAATAAAGACAAACACTTTAAACATGTCTAGAATGTTTTGTAAACAGTTGCACTCTTCAAAGATGAGTTTTTGAACTTCATTTGTATTTTGAAAACTTATAAATATTGCTGAAAAGTACTCTTGCACTGTTTTATGTGAATATGAGACTTTTGAACTTTCATTTATTAATGTTTTTACTTTACTTTCTGATAATATTCCTGATAGACAGCTTGAGTTCAAATCTTCTTGGCTAATATATTTTTCAGCAACATTTTCATCAAAAACTAATGTGTGCTCCTTCTTCTTACTGAACAGTGTATAAAAAGCTAGTTTCCCAATGGTCACCAGAAACGTGAAGTAACGACAGAAATGTTTATGTTTTCTAAAGCATGCGGGAACATTACTTGGGGATGTTTCACACGATGAATGAAAATTTCCATGTAACTTTTCTGTTCTAGATAGAAGGAGCTGAATAATGCCTGTATATAATTCTACTGCGGAATTACCTATTGGAATTTTTTCAAACCATGAACATATCAGATATACTAACAGGAGAGGGGTGGATTCCATTTCTTCAAGGTGGTGACCACTGATTGCTTCTTCAAACATACACACTTCATTTTTCAGTTCATCATCTTGAAGGTTTACATTCAACATTTTCATTGCATTAAGCTTCAACTGCCATGATTTGTCTTTATTTAGTTCAACTAGTTCTACTGTTTTGTCCATCTGACTTGCCTTTAAGTTTGAGGCTCCTAGCTTCCATGGCCGGGTTGTTGTTAAGATTAAACACTTGTCACGTGCATATCGATGAGGAATACTTTTAGGAAGTCTTGTACACTCGTTGTCAGGATGTAACCATTCATCTAGTCCATCTAATATAACAAGGCATTTTTCATCACGTAAAATGTCCTTTAAAAACCCTTTCGGCAATGAAGGTGAGCAAGGAAGATTTTTTATGACTTGTTGTTCAATCATGTCGTCGACATCACAGACTTTAGCTGAATCTCTCAATATCACTAGAAATAAAAACTCAAAGCCAGATAAGGCCTCTAATTCTTCAACTTTAAAATGGTTATAATTTTCATCTTTTTTATGAGCTTGACACCATGTTATAGCGAGATATTTTGAAAATACAGTTTTCCCAAATCCAGCCATCGCTGATAAATATATTTCCCGTGGAACCTTACTACCATGTGTAAATAGGTCCTTTAACGACTTGACTCTTATTGTTTCTTTCCTTCTACCTGGTAGATTCGTCTGTATGTCAATTTCTGGCATAATGTAGAACCCGGCTAGAGGAGTAGGGACAGCATCTGTGAGTGGTGAAAGATAGACTGTACTCTGATTGGTGTTGTACCATGTTATAAGTTCATCTTTTAGTTCTGAAAAAGAAATAATTAACATATTAGGCTAATTATTAACCGTTTAGATATATAAATATATAATGTAGATCTATATAATGCATGACATTCATTATTTAAAGAATAAGAACAAATGCTTTTATTAATGTTTAGTCTAGATCTACTGAACTGTGCCGATTTGTATTGTCATGTGCAGTATCAAATGCACAGACAAGCGAAAAAAGTAAGTTAAATAGAACAGACGGTATTCGTTTGCTACTATACAATTGCTACTGTACATTATAAACTAACGAAGCAGACGAGCACAAAATAGATCTACTATAATTAAGTTAACTCATACCAAATATGTTTTAATACCTTTGTGATGTATTTACAGAGCATCTTACTTGATTTTCTAATCAATTAAATCTTAATCTTACAAAATCATCAATTATAATAATTTTGAGAAGCTTGCTGCTGTCTTTACTAAATATATTTAATGCACCGAAGGAACTTTGCACTGGATAAACCGTAAAAAAAATAAAAACAGTTCACCTGACGTAGAAACAAGAAATATCTTTTGAAAAGAAAAGCTGTCAAGTTTAATCACAGAAAACTGTTCAAAGTTTTAAACTAAAAACGAAAAACAAACAGTTCATTTTACATTATATGAAGAGAAGAATTTTATGCTGAAAGGGAGGCATTTAGAGTTGCCCTTGTCTGTACGCCTGTGCATGCGCACGTGCTTGCGTTCTCATGTTTTGTCACATGTACATCTGAAAGTGCTTGAGATAGAGTCAACTTTTTTTATTACAGGTATGTTGATCAGCATGTAAAGTTGTGCGTCTGGGGTTTCGAGAAATGTCGTGCACAAAGCTCTTGAAGTCTTTTTAAATGCCCAAAAGAATTATGTAATACGCCCGGCGTCCGTCCGTCGTCCGTTAGCAATTTGGTTTTCGGAGCATAACTAAAGTTCCATTTGGCCCAAAATATTCAAACTTAATAGGATGATTGTTTATATAAGATAGAATTACCCTATTTATTTTGGGGTCATACGTCAAAGGTCAATGTCACTTGTAATTTAAGACATCATAGGATGTTTGTCCATATTGGGTTGAAGACCCCGATTTAATTTTGTAGGCACAAAGTCGAAGGTCAATGTCACTATGTTTCCGGAGCATAACTTTAATTCTATTTGGCCAACAATATTCAAACTTCATAGGATGATTGTCCATTGGTAGAAGACCTCGATTGATTTTGGGGTTTCAAGGTCAAATGTCACTATTACGTTAAAACTGAAAACAGTTTCTGCAGCATAACTCAAGTTCCATTTGCCCACAATATTTAACCTTCTGAGGATGTTTGTCCATATTGGGTAGAAGACCCCGATTATTTTTTTTGGCACAAGGGTAAAGGTCAAGGTCACTATAACCATAAAACTGAAAACAGTTTCCGCTTAATACCTTTAGTAACAATCAACCTACAGCTGTAAAATTTTATAAGATGAACAGCCTAGTTCAATAAATAGCCCCTATTGATTTAAGGGCCATTAGGTAATACTTTTTTAATTCCCATGTCCTACAAATGCTTCATCCTTACTAAAACACACTTTCGGGCATATAATGCTCCGCCTAGCTCTTGTTTTTCTTTTTTTCTTTTCCCTTTTTTGTTATTTTCTTTAAAGCATAATTTAGGATATACGATTGAGATTTGAAATTCTTAATATTTTGAAAAGTCAAAATTGAAAAAATAGATGTTGTTTTCTGTCCCAAGGTTCCTCTTACAGGTTCCACAATAAGAGCCATGTAAAACGTCCTTTGAACTGTCTGACAAAACAGATGAGTGTTGGACAAAAAATATTCTACAATGTAATCTTCAGTGCTGTTAACCGATGTAGGTGGGGAAAAATCTCAAGTTTAAGAACAATATCTTAAAACTACCATGTAGTTCCATTCATGACTAAAACTGGTATTTTTGGTCCAAGACAAATTCTAATTTAATTTTGTAAATGCTTACTAATGAACACTAACCAATACATGAAATGCGTAAATAAGGAACAATAAACACATTTACATATTTAATATACAATTAACTTTCATTTTAACCAGTAAAATATATACTAACAGTATCAGGTAAATTAAAAGGAGCTTTTAGTTTGTTTTTTTAAAATGTCAAATTCCAAAATTCATCATACTTTCGTGGGAATTTGAAATGAAAGTCAAGTCGATACACAGACATGCATTTTACTGAATGACTGAAACACTTTAGACAATAGTCCGGACACGAATGAAGTGGGGACGCGCAGACAAACAGACATACAGACGGACGAACAAATAGACATACAGACAGACGGTACGATTTTAATATGCCGCCCTTTGGGGGCATACAATTCAGAGCTACAAGTATTACAGCTGTAATTACTTAATTTTTAATATTTATATTCCAGATCAATATTTGCAGAATAATTCCTTTCACTCATTCGAAATGGGAATTCTATTTTAGGAAGTCATCAAAATAGGTAGTATTTTTCAAAAACAAACAACATCTAAACTTGTAGCATAAATTACATTTTCAAATAACACTGAAATATTATTCCAGTCTGTCATCTCAAATGGCTAGATCTATCAAGTCGTAAGTTTGCATAATTTTTTTTAGATATAAGTATAATTATACCTTTAGTCCAGATATTGAGTTGAAAATTTATAAAATGTAAAATATAAACAACAAAATTGTTACATTTTTTATTGTTATTGTTTGAAACATTAAACAAAGAATGAGAATATGCTCAGTTTTTTAAACATTTCACTTTCAGAAAAAGATTTTTTAAAAAAACAACAAAGAAACCTACCTTCGAATTAGGATCGGAGCACTATAAACAAACAATGTTTAAGGATGCCTTACCACTATAGTAACTTTTAAATAAGGAAAGAATTCTTAACGTAAGAGTATCAAGTTATTATTGAAAATAATAAAAAGATGGATTAATTTACCTTGAACTTTTTCTTTTCGGATTCGCAATTCCTGTAAAAAGAATGAATGATATATTTATGATATTCAGGATGGTTGTTAATGAAATATTTTAGCGTTAACCCTTTTTTTAAATGTAAGGAAAATAGTATTTTGTCATTGTAAATTAATGGTATCGATTTTGAATTTTTGATAGTACTGTCCCATATACAAGGTGCCCTAAGGCTTGATTTTGGCCCGCCGCTAGGTCACTTAGATAATATGTTGTTGTTTTTTTGTGTGTCTATTTTAGGAAACACATAAACGTTCTCATTTTCAACCGTCATGACCAGTGCTTAGGTAGTTGGCATGCAGCATTGCCTTGTCAACCTCTATAAAGGTTTAATTATTCACGCCCCTTGGATTAACAATGATCCGGCCCTTGTCGGCATTGAGTATACATATGGTTGTTGAAAAATAAAACAAGTCGTAAATAACATCTCGGAAACAAATCACCGAGATAAGACATTTTGCATGTATCACCACCTTTAGGCCCTCTATAAATATTTAATATATTATACTCATCAGGTTAAAAGTTGTCTCTATTCAAGGGGTCATTTAACTATATACATGTACGTTTTGTAGCACTGCCTAGTTGACCTATACAACAGTCATGCCGTCTTGTCCAAACTGACCCAGTTCTGGCTCATAGATTTGTTTAGTACAAAGTCTTTAAAACATCATCTAGTACACTACATTACCAATAAATATGATAACCGGTATTATCTACATACTCTTTGGAACACAATTGGTCCCACCTAAGTTCTTTTAATTTATATGCAGTTATGTGGGAAAATACATTTAAGTTTTTCTTCTGCCCAGAGTTTTGATATATTACATATACCAATGCGTATATTACATATACCAATGCGTAGTTGACCTGTTCAAAGTTATAAAAAAACACTCACTGAGATCTATCTATCTATCCATCCATCCATCAATCCATCCTATTTATTTATATATCTATCTATCTATCTATCTATCCTGTTTATCTATCTATCTATATATACATGTATATCTATTCTGTCCTGTCCTGTCCTGTCCTGTCCTGTCTATCTATCTATCTATCTATCCAACCACCCACCCACCAGCCCACTCACTCATCGATCCATCCGTCTATAGATAAAAAGTAGTGTTGTATAAGGCCCAGAATAAGTTTTGTTTATAGTTTCGCGTATATGTTCTTCTTTTTTTTGCTATTATTATAAGATGAGAAAGCATATACGGCCCTTAGATGCTTTGCAATTATACTTTTGTTAAACAGCAATTAAGGGCGTCATTGGCCGAGTTGTTTCAATTGTTGACTTTAAATGTTTTGCCCCAAACCGTTGTGTATCGACTCCTTCTAGGGACCTTGGATTCATTCATTTGAAGAAGCTCATAAGGAAGCTTCTGGAACGTCATTTGTTCTACTCATGTTCCCGGTAGTGTCTGAATTAATGCACGAAGGGGCATCTGAGGTATTTCTCTACCACTTAAACTGAAACGCTATATGACCTCTACTGTTTTGGCGACGTTATCCCTTACCAATACAAATAAACAAATAAAGACTACAAGTTAAAGTGCGGAAAAAATGTTACACATAGACAATGCATTTGATAGAGTATGTTTTACTAGTAAATGTGAATTATTGAAAACAAACCTTGCGTGACTTTGAACTTGAAGATGTGAACACATCTGAGAGCTTCCGAAGACCTTTTTTGAAAATGGATTCTTTGGAAACAACACGGCCGCTGATATCAGACCGAGCACCACAAGCCCCACTTAAAACATCTTCTTTAGTTTCTGCACCAGCCTTGGCGATGGCAGATAAAACGTCTTCTTTTGCATTACAAATATCAGAGACAGCCTCACTTTTCTGTCCATCAATATCGTGTTTTGCCACGGCAATATATTGTTTTACATGTTCCCCGGCTGTGTTTATTTCAGATATACCATCAGACGTCTTCCCAGCAATGTCTTGTTTTGCCTGTTCCCCGGCTGTGTTTATTTCAGATATACCATCAGACGTCTTCCCAGCAATGTCTTGTTTTGCCTGTTCCCCGGCTGTGTTTATTTCAGATATACCATCAGACGTCTTCCCAGCAATGTCTTGTTTTGCCTGTTCCCCGGCTGTGTTTATTTCAGATATACCATCAGACGTCTTCCCAGCAATGTCTTGTTTTGCCTGTTCCCCGGCTGTGTTTATTTCAGATATACCATCAGACGTCTTCCCAGCAATGTCTTGTTTTGCCTGTTCCCCGGCTGTGTTTATTTCAGATATACCATCAGACGTCTTCCCAGCAATGTCTTGTTTTGCCTGTTCCCCAGCTGTGTTTATTTCAGATATACCATCAGACGTCTTCCCAGCAATGTCTTGTTTTGCCTGTTCCCCGGCTGTGTTTATTTCAGATATGGCATCCCTTCTCTCTTCATAAAGCTTTTGCTTTAACGATGTTCCAGCGTTTTCGACATCAGCTAAAGTGGCATCCTTCAATTCACCAACATCTTGTTTTACTTTATGTAGTACAGCCAATGCTTTCTCGTCGAGTTTACGCAATGATTCTGCTGTTCTTTGGTCAAGTTCAGTTAACGCCTTTTTTCTATTCTCAAGTAGTGTCACTGTGTCACCCTGGCTTATGTGTATTGTGTTGTTTTTTAACTGTAATGTAAAAGATTAATATGAGTGTAATATACCTATAAACATATTAAACATTGTGTATGATGTGTCTAGTGTTACAGTTAATCAGTAAACAACTGATTTCGGCTTATTAATGGATGAATATTTCAAAAAAAATTAATCTGAAGGCAATTGCACTTTCGTTAGTTTTCATAACAACTTTATAAGATTTTGTAAATCTTCGTTTCCTATATAATTTAACTATTTTGAATAATTGTATTACCCAAAAGCACATATATATGACATGGGTTGGAAATAACCAAACAAACATTGTACATGTACAACTAAATTATATAATACTTTTGCATGTCAGATCATTTTTAAATTTGTCAATGCCCATATGATTGCTAAGGATGAATTTTTTAAATAATTTAAAAGTGTGTTTCTTTCTCAACTCTCTCTCTCTCTATCAACATGTAAAAGGAAGCATTACATTGCAAACTAGAAATGTGTCCATAGGACACGGGTGCCCCCACCGCGCCACTGTTCTGTCAATCTTTTTACTAAGTCAAGGGAAATAACTCAACAAATACTGGATAAATCCACAAGCGAAACCCCAGGTGCAAATCTAAAATATGCTGAGCAACCTGCCCATAAGGCTTAATGACTATGTCAAATCCTTTTTGAGAAACTTGCGACTTAAGTTGAAAATTGCAAAAATTTTCTAAGTGAACGGCAATAACTCTAAAATACTAAATAAATCCAGACGAAAATACCTGGTACACAACTGCACATGCTGATCAATATTCCTGTAAAGTTACATGACTCTAGGTCAAATACTTTTTAGTTACGTGCGACACATGTTGAAAATTGCCAAATTTTACTAACTCAAGGGCAATAACTCTGAAAATACTAATAATATCCAGACGAAAATACCCAGGTGCACAACTACACATGCTGATCAACATTCCTGTAAAGTTTCATGACTCTAGGTCAAATACTGTTTGAGTTACATGCGACACATGTTGAAAATTGCCAAATTTTACTAACTCAAGGGCAATAACTCTGAAAATACTAAAAATATCCAGACGAAAATACCCAGGTGCACAACTACACATGCTGATCAACATTCCTGTAAAGTTTCATGACTCTAGGTCAAATAAATTTTTGAGTTACGTGCGACACAAAAGTGAACGGACGGACGGAAGGACGGACGGAAGGACGGACGGACGGACAAGGGTAAATCTAAATGCCCGCCACTAACGCGGGGGCACAAAAAGTAATTTTATGATAATTTGCTCATTTGCAATGACGCCCTTGTCCTTTCATGACAATATCCATGCATAACTTGTGTAGTTTCTGAATGAAAAGTTTAACCAACGCAGGGTATTACGCCAAAGCCTACGCCGTCGAGAGGTTTATGACAAAAGCTCCACTTTTTGACCTAAAAATAGAGCTAAGAAATAATGGCCAGTGCTTTATTATGAAATCAGGCAAAATATCGATTTTTTTTTAACTCAAAGGTCATAATTAAAAATTATTCAACCGGAAACTCCGTTTTATATGCCTAAATTCTTGAGCTACCAAACAACTCTGTACAGTTTTATTTTCCTAGTTATAGAAAAGTAGTCAGGACAAACTTAAAATGTCATTAAAGAGACATAGCTCTGATAAAAAATTATTGAACTAGAAAATGCCAAAACTATATTAAATAGATGATTTTTTTTCTTTCTGTAAAATGTTGATGAAATTGCATAAGTCGTTTTTGAGAGGTAGTTTGGACAAGTTTTGTGTTGGACGTACAGACGGACGAACGAAGGATAAAAAAGTGATCACAACAGTCATGCTGCCGCCATTTTGTAGTAGGCGAATCGACCCCCGCCCCTCCGCTCTTGGACTCAAATTTACAACCTCCCGAGGGTAAGCGGTGCCCCACGTTTACAGCACTGAATCTTAATATATGAAACCACCGTTAGATAATTACGTTAAAACCTTTGTTCATGCACCAGCTCTCCACAGGCTCTTTACTGTTTCGTTAGGCTTAAAGCCAAACCAAACAATCATACTTCATTGTTATTGTATTGCTATTTAATTGGTACATGTAGTAAATGTTGTGTTGTTGGCGTATGTGATGTTGTTGGTTAAATCTAGGTGGTCTGGATTAACGTTTTTAGAGAACAAAGACATGAGGTAACTACAGCAAACGCTAAATATTATCATTTTCTAAATTCTGCTCGAATTGGGAATTATTAGCAAAAAACGTTACCAAAAAATATTTATTTATATTCTTTTATTTATAGCATGCATCGAATTAAATCGAATTGTAGGCATCTCCGCCTATGATTATTCGCAAAGCGTAAAACTGTAAGGCAAAACTTCTTTATTTTTATTTCACATCATTTATATAGTACAATTATGCATTCCTTGCCAAAAATAGAGTTTTGACAACATACACACTTTTTAAAGAACTGTTTCTATATACTTCAAAATACTGCTTTGATTTAGAGAGACTTCACACAATCAATACGATAGATTTAACAGACTCTGAGGGAAAATAAAAGCTGAATGAAGCTAAAACTGATTTGCACTCAATCATGAGTAACATGACTCAACATATTTTCAAATAATTTATAAGGAGTTTTGCATTTATATTTATCAGTTTGGTTATTTTAAATGCAATAGAGCTATTTCAGACAACCGTATATACAAGACTTCAAAAATAACGAGAAAAATGATCTATTTTAATTAAGTAAGCAACCGTAATATGAGATAATATCACAAGTGGCGATTGTTTTGCCAAATATCTCTTCACAGAGATGTTAAGACCAGATATACTCTATATAATTTTCTAATATTTAAATAGTTATGCATTAAAATATCAAGAGGATTTGCATATATATTAAATTTAACCTATAACTCTCAAGCGCTTCTTATGTAAAATTCTTCCAAGTATAATTTCCAATAACCGTAAATTATACCATACCCAGACTATGGTATAATTTTCAGTTTTGAAGATCGAAGGAGTAAGTGTTTCTGGGCGGAGCTATAGGTTAAAACAGATACACCATTGGTGCGTTGACGATTTCTGGGTTTGCGTAAATTATACCATAATCACGTGACCTTTCTTATGCAACCTCACTCGACTTCGTCTCGTGAGGTTAAGGCATAAGAAAGGTCACGTGATTATGGTATAATTTACGCAAACCCAGAAATCGTCAACGCAGCAATGGTATATCTATTACGTAAAGACTTGAAATAAGTGCTTAAAAGTTACACAAAGAGTTAATGGCAATCACATTTCTTCACAAGTTTTGCCCTTGCCGTCAACGTTAGATATGATGTCAAAATACGCAGCACTAAAAATCACAGTGGAAATTATGTGTCCATGAGCAAAGAAGAAAAGTACACATTAAACTTTATTTAAAAAATCAAAACTTTCTTTTAAACATTTTATATCTAGTAAGAAAAATTCTTAATCGATCAAAGGCAAAAATTTCTTAATCACAATAAAAGATATTTAAAAAGTCATTCTGGAGTTCAAATTTCCAAAAGTATATGACATTATTCAACTATGACATTTTTTTTTCAAATTCAATTACAATTTAACAATATTCCATAATACTTAGTAAATACACAAACTGCTAGCTATTTACTTAGTTTAAATACAATATCTCATTTAAAGTTATCATCCAGAAACAAAAATCTGTTTTAGTATCAGTGAATTTTAACCATGATCACATCAATGACATCAAACCAGATACTCATATATTATATTAATAAATGAGATTCATATCGTAAAATAATAGTGATTACCTGTGTTAGTTTATGGACCGCTTTCTTTGACGCCTCGTCGTTAATCAGACACTTTGGGTCTTGAAGAACTACAATGAATGCGTCCAAATAAGAACACAGAGTTGTTTCCTCGATTTCAAGCTTTGAGCTATGTAAGATTTCATTCCGGATGTCTCTCGCCTGAAAGAAGTTTCATAATACATACATTTGTGAAGAAGGGGGAATTACAACACACAATTCCTATTATTATTTCGTTTCATCTTTTATTTTATGTATGATCATAAAGAAAGTTTTTTGTCATTTTTATCCTTGTTAAGGATTATTCGGTTTTAATAAATCCTTTTTAATGATTTTAAACGTTTCATCCTATACTGAAGAAAGTCTGCAGTTCAAATTCATATAGAAACGTTTACATTTCGATTAATTTTATCTTTTAAATAAAAAGGCTGAATAATAATTTCAAACAATTCGTCTATTCAGTAATTAAATTATTTGTTTATGAATATAAAAATAATTCATAAAGCATCGACCGTTTGCTGTACTTACCGTATGAAATGAACTCGTAGTATGGGGATTAATACTGGTCACAAAGTTTTGTATTGACTTGTTGTTTATGATAATGCTTAGCAGACCAGCGGCATCTGTATCTTTAGCATATGTCCCTGGACCTTTAGTTGTTTGGAAACATTTTGCATAACTCCACCCATGCGGATCCGAACACCACGTACTTGGGTCTGTGTTCTTCCATAAGGGGTCTTCAAATGCATGCTCATCTATGATTGCGTCGTAAATTTTACTACAAATACCATCAGGGCATTTCCTACGTCCAACTGGTCTGCTTCCAAAACAGTTGCTCGAGCTCTTTTGGGGACATGTGCGTCTGCTACATGCCTTCGTAGAGTTAAAATGTTCTGGAGAAAGATTAATTTCTGTACAATTGTTGCATTGTTGTGGTGATCCAAATGGCAATGCCAGTAGAATGTTTTGAAGGGTATTATCACGACTTTGCAGCACTTTATCTCCAACAAATTCTTGAAGACCTTCCTGTAAGTATTCTAAACCTTTTGAGCCTCGCACCCAATTCGTAAACAGATCTTTATCCAGTTCCTCACTTTCCATTATATCATTCTCGAAACAGGTCAGTCTGAATGAAAATATATTTATAAATGTGATAATATCTTTGTAATGTTATATGATGGATATTTTAATGATGCCAATGTATTCAATTTGAAACTCAAATATCTATATTTATTTACTTTTATGCTTGTTTAATATGCTTAGAGAAATAAAACTTCATATTTCCAATCATTTTGTACCTATTTATTTTTCATCTTTGGTCAGCTGTGGTTTAAAGGTAACAAGGGGACTGTCAAGTGTGAGATAAGTCCTTTTCACAGCATAGCGCATCATAGCACAGCATAGCATAGCAAAGCAAAGCATAGCAAACCATAAAGCATGTGGCAATTAATTGATAGATAAATGTGTAATTCGTTGGGTTTACGCTTCAATCTGCAGTATAATGCACATATAGTTGACGAAACATTCATTTGATGCAGCATACAATTGTATTCATACACTTTACAGTCACTCAGTTTAAATGTATTGCGGTGTAAATTATTACACAGTAGTCATAAACATTTACTTCAAAAATAAAGAATGAATAGGTATAAAAACAATGTCAAAAGTAGGGATCGAACCACAGACCTCTTATATAGGTAATCCCTTAACCCACTATGGTACTGTGGATGTGACGAGAAATACATTAAGCTAGTTCGAATTTTTAAAACATTAGATATATACACCATGATATTAATTCTCGTGAACTTTAAGAACAGAACCGAAGTGGGAGCGAAAAATCTATAATATATTCGTAACGCATGGATCCCTGACCTGTCTAATTCTTATTTTCAGATCAGTGGATACAATAAGAATTTTACCACAGGATACTTGTAAACAAAACAAGCACATGTTTTTTTTAACTAATGTTTGTGTTTCAGTCCATTTTTATTAAAATAAAAGGTCAGATTAGGGATCTCAAAAAATTTCGGACTTTACTAAGATAAACGTTGTATGTACAATGCATATTATTATTATTGAGGCTATCTCCCTTAAAGCAATATGCATGCATGTACAAGTCGAACACGATAACGTCATTATGAGATAATGGGTTGTGCAAGTTATTTGCCGTGTAAATATTTTCTATAGTGTAATAATACATAACAAGAACATACATTATTTTCAATTAAATTTATTTATGTTTAACGTTTTTATTATTTTATTTTTTTATTTTGTTCATAAAACAAAATCGTCGTATAAGTCAAATACCGTTACTCGTATTTTCTTCAAAAGTGTTTTCTCCGACCGTGAAGAGGACAGTTCGATAGGAAAAACAAGAATATCTCTTCGGCTTCGCCCATTGAAATTTGTTGTTTATGCCAGCAAACTGTCTCTTTCTGTAAGAAGACACTTTGAAGAAAAGAAAATTGCAATGATACCCTGTAAAATAAAAGGCACAATGTGACAAAAAATATAAATTTATTATAAATGATGAAATGGTGCATATAAGCACTGCGTTAAAAATTAGTTTTGTTATTAGTTTGTAGTTTTATGATTATGAGTCCTGTGCATTGTCTATGAGGTATTTTTGAAAATTGTTCATCGTTTTACTTACGAAGGTTTTTCTTAATATAAAATTGGTCTACTTCACTTTGGACCAACTTAGTGCTGACTATGACAATGACATCTTTTACTGACGGTTTATGTGATTTCCTTTTTTCACTCATAAACCATTACATGACTGTCCGTCCGTAATCTGGTTCATCTGAAGAAATATGGATTCTGCCATAACTGACAAAAATACAAAAACGTCTGTAACAAAACGTGTCCGAATTACTCCCAGAAATCTATTAGCGCAATTTCATCCAAACTCTACGGTAATCATAAGTACCAAGTTCAGTTATGTATATCATCATTTTCTGCTTCAATGATATTTGTCATTTGAGTTATGGTCCTTCAATCATTTTTATTTTTTAAATTTTGTCCGGACGAGTCCATTTATACTATACTACTCATGCAATTTTAATGAAACATTTACAGGATAATTTTGTAGTTCAAGTGCTTGCGCAAATTACACGGGTTTTCTCGTGTACTTTTACTTTTTTGTTAAGTATTTGCGTAAAAGTTGGTATCTCCAAAACAAGTGAAGAGAATGAATTTAAACTTCACACTTATTTAAGACCTTAATAGGAGGTACTATCCAATGCCTATTTCTCTTATGTGAGTTTTGAGAGAACTATGGCCCTTTTTGAATACCTACATTCACAGAGACTTTATTATCAGGCACTGAGAACGCACTGTCGAGCGTACTGTTTTTGATAATAATAATACCGAGATATGATTTTCCTTTTTTGAAGAACTTTTATAATAGTCATTGGTACTGTATATAAGCTACAGTTCTCTAAGTAAAGGTAAATCATGACGATTTTTTTACATTTTAATTCTCACATGGATTTAGTTAAGCACGCGACAAAAAGAACTAAGGTATTTATTCTTTTTTGTTTACAGCTGGTCATCTATGGAACAAATTATTTTCTGTGTAATAATTCTGAGTTTTAAAAGTCTTGAACTGATCTTGATTTGTTTTAGATGTTTTGAATGATTTGTAATGGATGATCTATATAATAATACTATTTCATCTATTCTTAAAATCTTGTGTATGAATATAACCTTAACTTTACAGAACAGAAGACACATACACAGGATGGTAGAGTGACTGTTTGTTGAGAAGTATACAAGAAAGAGGTTGCTTGTATCACAGACGGGGTATATAATGATATTTTGTATTCATTATGTTAGTTATATAAATGTATGTAAACAGTAAGGTAGATTATAGTGAGATGTATTTTAGTGAAATATGCTATACATTTACAAGTAGTTTTTCTTACGTTTGTATAAATTATGAGAGCAATAAGTCATATCTAAATAAGTAGATTGATTTAAATTTGTTTGTTTAATATAAATTATAAGTTCAGTGATATTGTCTGTAATGTATTTGTGATTCCTTATTTTCTTTTAAGATCCGTTTTTTCTTAGATATTGTATGTATTGGACTAAATAAATATATCTAATAAAGTGTTGTCTTGCCCTAAGACCATATAGAGGCCCAGCTGATTAGTAGTAAAAGTGCCTTAAATCTGATAAATATTATGTTTTCTACACATTTGATGTATGGCAAAACCTTGTTTACAACAAATACAAAAAATAGCAAAATCTTAAAATTATTTAAAAATACAGTAATATCTCATGTCCATCACAGCATATACCCTCCAATATTGTGTGAGAAAGAAGCTCAAGAAGGCAATCACCATTAAATTGGACCAGCTCTTCGAACTCGCTATAAATTAGAAAAATATCTTTATTAGATGTATTTTAAAGTATTTAGATGTTTTATAAATGGATAAGTTTATCATTAATTGATATAAGTTAGAGAAAAAAAATCACTTTTTAAGGTGCTTACAATAGTCATAAAGTAATTAATGAATAATTTACTTGATAAGATCATTAGATATTAATTATTGCTTTTTGTTTGTTTGTTTTTTGTGTTTTTTTTATAAATAAAATATAGAGAATAAGAATCCCTAAAATTCATACCTGAAAAAGGTGTTAAGTTTACAAACACTTTTCATATATAACATAAAACATAATATCAAACTCAATATTTTAATAATCTTCATTAAGAAATGATTAGATTAAGTCAAAACTAAAATGATGACTTTAAAAAAAAGGTTGGGAGAGAACTGTCTGCATATTTCAAATTTGGGAGAGAACCGTAAGGGCAGGAAACGGTTTGGGGGAGAACCGTAAGGGAGAGGAACTGGTAAGGGGAGATAATAGTATGCATTCCTTTAAAACGACAGCACTGCCTAGATACCGTTGGTGTTTCTTGAATAGAGAAATATTATTCCTGGCGTTAATTCTAATATTTGTGATTTATCACGCCCGGCAAACTGTCGCTCCACTTCAAAATTGTGGTGTACGGAAAACGAGCGAACGGCATTTCCGAGACAGAGCAGAAGGCCGATTTAAACGGCTAATTGTAAGTTTTATTTATTTATTTTTTGTCTTGTAATTCGTTTAAGTTGTATGCTTTCAAAATTCGATCAATGTATTTCCGTGTAGGATTGATTTAGGCTTCCAATAATCTAAGCTGTTACAAAAACAAAATTATATTAAGCCCAGGAGAACTTTTCTCCCTGACGAAGTGAACGACGATTTGTAGAATATTGAACTTCCCAACCATTGAAATGCCATGCTCTTCGGATTTCTTGAAAAAGTGTATTTGAAAAATATCAACCCGTAATAAGGATTTGTCCTTCGTGCAACATTAATTACTCCAGTAGGATTTCTTAAATTTATAAATCAATAATAAAATATACTCTATAACAGAATTTGTAGTCTTTGACCTCTAAGTGTGACCTTGACCTCGGAGGTAGGGGCATAGTTGTTGCGCATGACATATCATCTTATTATTGTGACTATTTGTTCCAAATATTTTCAAAATCACTTGATCTATGACGAAGTTATGGACCGGTCATTAAATAAACCATACAACAGACTCAGTTAACCTTTGACCTCTAAGTGTGACCATGACTATGAAGGTAGGGGTGCCGGTGTTGTACTTGACATATCGTCTTATTATTGTGACTATATGTACCAAGTTATTTCAAAATCCCTTGAAATATGAAGTAGTTCTAGATCGGACACAAAACATACCCTATAACATACTATGTTAATTTTTGACCTCTAAGAAGGACCTTGACCTTGAAGGTAGGGATGCAGGTGTTGCGCATGACACATCGTCTTGTTTTTGTGAGTAATTGTGTCAAGTATTTACAAAATCCTTTGATCTATGAAAAAGTTATGGACCGGACACAAAATATACCTTATAACAGACAATGTTAATCTTTGACCTCCAAGTGTGACCTTGACATTGAAGGTAGGTGACCGGTTGTTGCACATGACTCATTGTCTCCTTTTTGTGAACAATTGTGGCAAGTATTTACAATATCCCTTCAAAGATAAGAAAGTTATGGATCGGACACGACATATACCCTCGAATAGACAATGTAGACCTTGAATGAGCAA